AGTACAGCCTCCTACCCGCCATGTTTTGAATAGTCATGTAACTAATTTGCAAGATGGAGAAGCGAATACGAAGGATTTTTTGGTTCTTGATCGAGGGCTATTAAATATCACTGAACACTGTTGAAATCTCTTCCCAACACAAAAAAGGATAAGAAGCCAGAATTATAACTCCCAAAAAAAATTTGAAAATATCATCTGCGCCTGGAAAAATTTACAAAATTCCTTACAATAAGTATGGCAACGTAGCATGCTATAGTAGTGTTCCAATCACCATAACTGCTCGCTTTTCCAACCAAAACACTGTAGAAGATGAAATCACCGAGGCCAAGTTTGATGCCTTCTGCAATATCGGATAATCAAAACTTACGATATAAGGGGTAAAACTTACGATATATCGGACAATCAAAACTTATGATATAAGGTAATTCCATTTTTTATATCCCGAAATCAATTAGGTGAAATACATCATCGGAGTCTAGGAAGGACAACAGGATGAGGTGGTTGTGGTTCCCCCGCTCCCCACCCCCCTCCGCCTTCCCCCAGAAGCCCCCTCCCCCTTCCAGTCGTCCTCCCTTTGTTTATGGTCAACCTGCGGGGGATGCAAAATTTCCGGTCGTCTTGTTGCACGTCGCTTCTGGAGGAAGACTATGGACTGAGTAAAGAGCACAATGAGCGTATCGCAATCGCACTGCAACACCTGGCGCATTAACACAGCTGGGATCCGTAAGATTCCTGGCCGGCAGTGACAAAGTTCACTCGCTTCCGAACACACATACACATAGACGGCCCGCAGGTACGGGAAGGCTGAATTTAAATTTGCGGTAACAGTCAACAAATTACCAAGAACTTCTCAAAAAGACTATGGCTTTGCTCATGCTTTTTTAGGAGAAACGTTGTAATCCCTTCAGGAGATGAGACACATATGAGGATCATTTCAGCAGACTGACTATTACACAATCCGCCTTTCATCAAAGCAAAGTTCGGCAGCCGGGGAAGCGGAAAAGGGGAGGGGAGGAATGCGAGAGTATATTACAAAATAAAGCTAGAGATCAGTTCACTGGAAAAGAAATGCACGATTTTTGAAATGAAGAGAAAGAGTGAAGCGTTGTCCGCAAAG